ATGACCCAATTTTGTTCCTTTTATGGCCGAGTAATATTCCATTGTATATATGTACCACATCTTATTTATCCATTCGACTGTCGATGGGCATTTAGGTTGCTTCCATGACCTGGCTATTGTAAACAGTGCTGCAATGAACACTGGGATGCATGTGTCTTTTTGAATTATGGTTTTCTCAGGGTATATGCCCAGTAGTGGGATTGCTGGTCATATGGTAATTCTATTTTTAGTTTTTTAAGGGCCCTCCATACTGTTCTCCATAGTGGCTGTATCAATTTACATTCCCACCAACAGTGCAAGAGGGTTCCCTTTTCTCCACACCCTCTCCAGCATTTGTTCTTTGTAGATTTTCTGACGATGCCCATTCTAACTGGTGTGAGGTGATACCTCATGGTAGTTTTGATTTGCACTTCTCTAATAATTAGTGATGTTGAGCATCTTTTCATGTGCTTCTTGGCCATCTGTATGTCTTCTTTGGAGAAATGTCTATTTAGGTCTTCTGCCCATTTTTGGATTGGGTTGTTTGTTTTTTTAATATGGAGCTGCATGAGCTGTTTTTATATTTTGGAGATTGATCCTTTGTCAGTTGATTCATTTGCAAACGTTTTCTCCCATTCTGAGGGTTGTCTTTTCGTCTTGTTTGTAGTTTCCTTTGCTTTGCAAAAGCTTTTAAGTTTCATTAGGTCCCATTTGTTTATTTTTGTTTTTATTTCCATTACTCTAGGAGGTGGATCAAAAAAGGTCTTGCTGTGATTTGTGTCATAGAGTGTTCTGCCCGTGTTTTCCTCTAAGAGTTTTATAGTGTCCGGTCTTAAATTTAGGTCTTTAATCCACTTTGAGTTTATTTTTGTTCATGGTGTTAGGGAGTGTTCTAATTTCATTCTTTTACATGTAGCTGTCCAGTTTTCCCAGCACCACTTATTGAAGAGGCTGTCTTTTCTCCATTGTATATTTGTGCCTACTTTATCAAAGGTAAGGTGACCATATGTGTGTGGGTTTACCTCTGGGCTTTCTACCCTGTTCCATTGATCTGTATTTCTGTTTTTGTGCCAGTACCATATTGTCTTGATTACTGTAGCTTTGTAGTATAGTCTGAAGTCAGGGAGTCTGATTCCTCCAGCTCCATTTTTTTCCCTCAAGACTGCTTTGGCTATTTGGGGTCTTTTGTGTCTCCATACAAATTTTAAGATATTTTGTTCTAGTTCTGTAAAAAAAATGCCACTGGTAATTTGATAGAGATTGCGTGATATCTGCAGATTGCTTTGGGTAGTATAGTCATTTTCACAATATTGATTCTTCCAATCCAAGAACATGGTATATTCCTCCATCTGTTTGTGTCATCTTTGTTTTCTTTCATCAGTGTCTTAGTTTTCTGAGTACAGGTCTTTTACCTCCTTAGGTAGGTTTATTCCTAGGTATTTTATTCTTTTTGTTGCAATGGTGAATGGGATTGTTTCCTTAACTTCTCTTTCTGATCTTTTGTTGTTAGTGTATAGGAATGCAAGAGATTTCTGCACATTAATTTTGTATCCTGCAACTTTACCAAATTCATTGATTAGCTCTAGTAGTTTTCTGGTGGCATCTTTAGGATGCTCTATGTATACTATCATGTCATCTGCAAACCGTGGCAGTTTTACTTCTTCTTTTCCAATTTGTATTCCTTTTATTTCTTTTTCTTCTCTGATTGCTTTGGCCCATTTTAAAATTGGGTTGTTTGTGTTGTTATTGAGTTTTAGGAATTCCTTATATATTTTAGGTGCCAGTCCTATATCAGATATGTGTTTTGCAAAGATTTTCCCCCAAGCTGTGGCTTGTCTTCTCATTCTCTCTCGTTTTTTCTCATTCTCTTAACAGTGTTGTTTACAGAGCTGTCACATTGTGATACAGTCCAATTTATCCTTTCTTCTTTAATGGACCATGCTTTTCATATTGCATCCACAAACTCATCACCAAGCCCAAGGTAAGACAGAGTTTTCTCCTATGTTTTCTTCTAGAAGTTTGGCATTTTACATTTAGGTCTGTGATCCACTTTGTGTTCATTTCTCTGTAAGGCATCCCCTGAAAGGATTTTGAAAAGCTCTGCATCCACCACCATCTAACACACACACATGTGTTTTTTGAAGTTGACATCTACAGTATTTCAACGGATGTTTCAACAGTCGTGAAGGGTGTCATTTCCAGTGTATTGTAAATACTGATTTAAAACAAAAACCGTGAGATCACTTTTTACACTTCCACTTCCTGATTTTGATGCCACAGGCTCACTTTGGAAGTGCGTCCTTTTCCTCCTGCCTCCACTTTCCATCTGCTGCCCCCAGAGCAGAGTCTCCTTTGCTGTCCTCCACGTGGGAAGCCTTTTATTACTCATGCATCATCGCACTTCTCCAAAACACCAATTACATTTCGTGTTAGGACCTGTGACCACAGGGCAGTGGATTAGACATGTGGATGCATAATTATGAAACAAGCAAGTAAGATGGGGCTTTGGTTTGTGTCAATTTGTCCAAGTGTCCATAAACAAATAGGACTTACCGCCAGCATGAGATGGGGTTCACTGTCGGTTCCATTCCTATTTTTTTTTTCTCTTTTAGATGTAAAATCTAGGAAACCCTGTTCACAGATTTGAGCAGGTGGGAGTGGGGCCCATGCTTCCGAGGGCTGAGGCCCCTGGAGCCTTCTTGAAGGAACTGGGAGGGGCGGTTGGGAAAGGGAACCTGAGGGGGCCTTCTCAGACCTGCAGTTTTGAACAGAGGACATGTAGGAGCTGAGGTCTGGAGAGATGATTTTTAAAAACCTTTGCCTGCCCCGTAGACCCTCTTGAAGACTTTGTGTCAGGCCGGGGGCCTATAGACCCCTGCAAAGATAGAGTCAGCAGGTTACTCCCGGGCCCTGAGATTCCATGGAGCCCCTGCAACAATGGCCTGTGTGGATGTACTCTTGGTAACAGCCAGGACACCTGTTGCCCCCATCCTTGGTGGGACCTGGACTCCCTGGGAGGGGCGCCAGAACCGAGATGAGACTGGATGGGACAAATCCACTAATTCTTGGATGAAGGATTGGATTCATTCACCAAGCTCTTATTTCCTGAGTGATTCTCCTGGGCCAAGTTGACAGAGACACTTGCTGGGAGTGGATGCTTTGCTGAGGAAGACAAGCCAAAGAAGGTGATTTTGCAGAGATGCATGCTCTTCAGACAGGGCAGGCGGGGTGATTACTACATAGAATGTGTTGGAGGGGGACAGCTGAGGCCTCTTTGAGGAGGTGACATTTGAGTTGAGACCTGATGGAGTGAGGGGGCAAGCCAAACAGATAACCTGAGTGAAGAGTGTTCCAGGCAGAGAGGCAGTGAGTGCAAAGGCCCTGGGGCGGGTGCATGTGTGGCGTGCTTGAGGACCAGTTAAGAAGCCAGTGTGGCTGGAGCTGCTTGAGCAAGGGGTTGGGTGGGGAGTGGGTGGAGAGGGGCCAAAGCAATGATGGGGAAGAGGGACCAATCACGCAGAGCTCTTAGGCCCCTGTAAGGACTCATGCTTTGGTTTGGAGTGACACGAAGAGCCGTGGGAGGGTTTGGAGCTCAGGGGTGACAGGATCTCAATAAAAGGAATGCTCTGGCTGCTCGGTGGGGAAGAAACTGCTGGTTGGAGAGGTTAAGGGTGCAGGCAGAGGGCAGGGGGAGCCCAGCGAGGAGGCTTTTGCTGTCCTCCAACTGAGTGCTGATGGGGGTTCAGGCCAAGGTGGCAGAAGCGGCAGCGGCAGGGCTGGGGCTAGGGAAGGAGGCTGTTTTAGGTCAAGTGGCCTGGATGCCCTGTCTGCGGAGAGGACATTAGAGCAGAGACCCGAAGGCACCCAAAGAGCCAGGTCAACATGTGGGTGAAGAGACTTCTGTGTGGAGGACACCGGTGGTGCAAAGGCCCTGGGGACGGCCCAGTCAGGCCGCCG